TTGTGTGTAATACTGTACTAAAGACCTGGTGTTTTAAAGATAGATTTTAGAAGGGTAACATTATGACAGAAATAGTTCTAGCAAGATCAAGCATTAGAGAGATTTGCTAATCCAAGTGAGAAGCAGAAACTAAACATCGTTTTCTGAGAAAATACCATGGTATGCTTATTCTTTAGGATTTACATGACAAATGCCAAATACTGGAGAGAAAACTCAAGTAATGCTCAGTAGGAAGACGTGATTCCTTGATAATTAAAATAATCTCTTTAAAAATATAAAGCATATGTATCCTAAATATTAAAACATTAGAATTTAACAGCATCTTGAGAAATTGTTTGAACATTGTTAGCTGTATCTCACTTCTCAGAAAAGAATCCATAATCCAGTTATGAAAAAAAAAGCAAGTTACAGTTATGTTTTTTCTTGTGACAATTCGATGTGATTCAGTATAAACGCTATCTTATTCCTCCAGACTTCTACTTGTAGCAGCTATGCCCTAGCTATAACATTTTAAAATAAAAACTATATAATTCAATTATAGTTTGTTGAAACTAATGTTTTTGCTTCAGCAAACACCCTTATAGAAGAAAAGCCTTTTAAAAAAATCACGTGTTCTCAGAAACACTAAATATATCAGTAAAAGATGGAAACAGGTAAGATGAAAAAGGGGTACTCAAAATTTTTGAAAAGAAAAAGGCTACATATCTAGAGAGCTCTTTTTCAGTACTCAGAATCTTAAAGGTACTAGAAAAGGACCGCAGTTCATCTCAAGTCCTTGTGCCAAGCATTTCATCTGAAAAGCTTTGCGCAATTACTGTACAGCTAGAAACAGAGATTTTTAAAGTTATGGAAAAATCCAGAACTGCTAGGTAATGCAAATTCTACAGGACAACTATCAAGACAACTGTCATCTTCTGCAGGTTACTTGACAGGAAACATTACGAGATAAATATATTCCCCAAGCTGTGCTAATCACACTCCTAATAACGACCGCTTGGGTACTTTGTTTTTTTCAGAAATATCTTACATGATTTCTCAAGGCACAGCTACACCAAGTGCTGAATTTGAACACTTCCTTTCAAACATTTTTCAAAGGTGGTTTCTTTTGAGGTTTATTTTTTTGGGGGTGGTGGTGGTGTTTGTTCGCTTTTTTATTTTTTCCTGTGTTCTGTTAGTGGAAGCCTATAACTCAAAGCCTGTCTTGAAATTGTTTTCTGCACAGTCAGACCAGTGTTTTCCTCTAAAGTGGAAGTAAAGCATTACAGACTTTTATGTTTTACTACTGGTAAGAATGAAATTTTAAAGTAATTCTTAGTAAAAACACATTACTGCAAGATCAGACCCTTAAAACATCTAGTCCTGTTTCACAGGCTGGTTTCATCAAATCTTTTCATCTTTGAACACCAAATCTCACTTTTGTGTTTCAGAATGCACAGCACTCTACACCATTGCAAACTTCGTCAGTAATAATTTACTTAAAAAGAATTCCCAGCACTAAGGATATCAACAAAACCCAGAACTAGAGCATAAAATTGAAAAGACAGTTACACAATTCTGTGTGTGCTTGCTGCCCCAGCTCACTGCTATACATCTTCACATCAACTTAATTCATTTGACACACAGTCTCTCCACAGCTAAGAAAGCCCAGCTTCCTTACTAGTTCTTAGTAAAAGCTTAAATACAAACCCCACTATGTTTAAGTAAAGTTAAGATTGTGACAAAAATCAACAAAAGGCAGGAAACTCAAGGATAGTACTGACAATCCATACTTAATTCATGATTGCTTAACAAAAGGGCGAAATGCTATGAGGAACTAATGTTTAGCTTTAACTTCACTGTCTATGTTTTTGGGTGAACAGGTGTTTATCTCAAAGATTATAGTAATTCAGTCCATCAGTCCAGATAAATTCTAGCTATTATTTAGCATTTAACAATGTATTGGATGTAAAGAAACTGTTAAACTAATTGTCAGCATCCTAGCATGTTACACTCTAACAAACATCACTCATTAAAAATACATTTTGAGAAAATTATGCTAGACAAACATAAAGACATAATAACATAATTTCTTTCAGAAATAAATAAAACATCTTTTTTGTAAACAAAACCCACAAAATTATTCATTTTCTAATGCAACATGAAATAGAGCAATATATATTTTTTTTCTCACAAGTTAACAACTGTCAGTATGTTCAATTCCTCTTTGAATCCTAATCTGTCTGGTTTTTTGCACTCTATAAAAAACATTTGCTTGGTCAGAAAAATGTCAGAGAAAGGAATGCAGCCTATGGCTATATTATTAGGATGTAGTTTTTTTTTAATTAATCTTTTAGGCTCCAAAATAAAATTTAGTATTTTAGCATGCTTTAGAAATACTAATTAGATACAAACATGTCTGCCTAGTAGTTTTGCATGGTGTCCTATGTAGAAATCAGAAAAACAGAAGAATGATATGAATAACATGACTGAGATTGCACTTCATAGTCTTCTCCAGAGGACATGAAATTACCTCACGCCTACATACCTTATTGCATTATTGGAGCAATAATACCTTATTGCAATTAACTGTTATTAATAACAGTCTTTGCTGCAATTATTTTCTTTATTTCTTACAATTATTATTTTCTAATGTCTCAAATTATTACAAATTTTGTAGGAAATAATTTTTTTCCAATTGAGTTACTCAGCAATCATGATCTTCTCCCAGACATCAAAATTCTGCTAACTTTTGTAGCATCAAAAACTGCTGTTCATCCGCTTCAAAGAGGGCTTTCAAAATCCTGCATCCGTACTTCATCAGACTTACAAACCTGCCATCAAGATTTTAATTGTCAAAGCAAGGACAACTATGTGTTTCACCCTTGGGATTACCAAAGAAAAAAGCACAGTTGTCACAGAGCTTCAGTTCTTGGCGGAGCCTGAACAACTGTGCATGTGGAGATATAAGTCTTTGTAAGACCATGGGAGACCCCTAAAAGGTCCCACAAGAAGTCATGCATGTGCTTCTCAGATGATTTCCTCTACTTGTCCAAATACAAAGGTGCAGAGTACACAAGGGCTTGAAAAGCCTCTGAGGAGGAGAATGGCTGCTCTTCTCCCTCTGAGAAGAAAGGCAGGTTCTTTGACAAAGGAAGTTCAACAACAAACTGAGCTCACAGTGCAGTAACGGGCTCACTTTTTTAACTTAACAGCACCACAAATAAATGTGGGAAAGTCTTCAACTGAAGTACTAGAAAATTAATGAAAAAGGAAGAAAGAAAAAGGGCTGCACCCTGCAACACACTTGTTAAACTAATTCATATTAACTTCCTATCACATTTTTAATCTAGGGCAACCTCTTGGTTTTCTTAGAAACCATAAATTATGCTTAAAAATTCTACTTTGTTGCAGTTTGTTTTGCATTTTCAGCTCAGATATCAAAAGCAGAATTTATTTGTCAGGCTGACACGCTCAGATATGCTGAAGATTACAATGCTAATCAATTAGTAATAATGTATCAAAAATCAGTTGGTATCATAGTTACTTTGCTGGAAGTCTTACTGATCCTTAACAGCAAAAAGAGTAACATCTTTAAGTGAATGATAAAAACTAGTACCAACTCTATCAATAGAAAATGTTCGCAAAGTCCCAGTGATGCTGAGTGACTGCAGAAACCAAAATATTAGTGACAGGTGAGCCTCGGTACACAGAAGTCAACAGAAGCTTAGGTTGGACAAAGCTGATCAGCCAAATGCTATATATATTTTCCACTTATTCATTCTGTGAAACACACTGCCTACTTTTCATCTAGCCATGGACACTTCTTTTCTCTCTCTCCATTCTTTCACAAGTAAGGGTTTCCTTATCCTCAGTTTCTTTGCTTCAGTTTCTCAGTTTTTTCCCTACTTTTGGGAGAAATCCTGTTTTCCTCTCAGTAACTGCAGCGAATGAAGAGCGAAATCCATCTGAGAAATTATTGATCCTCAAGATGTGGATCCCATCATTCCCATGATAATTCTTTCTACATGGGCTGTTGAAGTCAGAAGGGACAACAGTAAGGCTGGTAGATCTCTAATACACAGACAGAATGGACAAGTCTCTCTCATGCTACAGCAGTGGCAAGAAGCACCTTCACTATGCACAATGCAAACGCCAGTGAATTGCAAAATTTGAAGAGGAAAGTAAAAGAATGAGTTTGTGGCCACAAACTATGTCAAAGTAATTTATTACTTTGACATAGTAATTCCTTATTAAAAGCTATAGAGTGGAAAGTTAAAATATTAATAATAATTAAAAAAAAGTGAATGAGAAACAAAATCTGAAAACCTGATGTGAACATCTCAAATATACAGCTTGTAAATACTAGTGAAATTTAGGCATGCAGGTGAGAGACAGACATTTCAGAATGTGGTCTTATTGCAGAAATAAGTGTCTTATTTTGAAGTCAATATCTTACTCGAAAAAAACCTAAATAAGATAAAACAAAGCGGCCTTTGCAAACACAAGCAAGTGCTAAGAATTTTTCCTATTCTAAATATAAAATCTGTCTCTCTCTATGGCCTATCAGACAGGATATCTAATTCCTCAGGTGCTCCTCTCTATTTTATCACAACAGCATTTTTAAGGGATCATCAAGTTCATTCAAATTTCATGGCCTACAATAGGCAATCAATCCCCATTCTTATTTGCTTAGTTATGCTTTTACAGCATCTAGAAATGCCTATTTTTGGATTTTCTCCCAAATGCTCTCCTGGTCTCCAGGATAATTTCAAGGGGACTGTACCCAGACTACCCAGTAACTGCCAATTCGATAAGGATATTTTGCAGCAAATACATACATTGACTTTCACACTTCTAATTACATGTATTTTTAAGCATGTCAACCACTTTTTGTACATTTCCTATTTTTATGGATAAAGGTTAGACAATTTTTATCTCTACATTTCCAACACTTTCTATAAGAGCCCCTGTGAACTCCAGTTCAATATTCACAAAAATAAAGATATAGGTATATTACATACCATAGTCAGTGATCTTACAGGATACTAAATACAGTTCTTTCAGGTTCCGTCCTTCTCTGGCAATCACCTCCACACATCTGGAAGATACATAGCGTAAAACTACTGTTAAAAGACAATAAATAATTTTTAAATAGCAAGAGCACAATCCACAGGTGTAATGTACTGTATCTCAATTTCTTTATTTTGTAAATTGCTCTGAATTTCCTAAATTATTTTCTAAATTGCTGAAAATGCATATGGCTACATGTATACACTGCAGAAAAACAGTATTTTAAACTGAACGCCTTTATATGAATATTTTCATAAGTCTATGAATAGTGACTTCCTTGAAATATATACAGACAAGTCTTTAGGAAAATTACAAAAATGTGAATTTCCATTTCTTTATTACTGCATAACTTCAGAAAGTTTCTATTGCAAATTTCAAACTCTAAGAGTTTTCTTCTAGGGAAAAACTATAAATGCACCGTAATGAGCACAAAATGTAAGAAAATGTAATTTTAAATTCATGTTTGTATTTCTTCAGTGATTACTGCATGAGTCAGCGTTCACCAAGTCCTGAAATGCTCTTGGTGTTCCAATACATTGTTAGAGAAGCTTGTATAGATGAGAAGACTATGAGAAGCTCATTCATTTGGGTTATCACAGCTGTGATGAATATGCAATAAAACACAGAGTTTATGTTAATCTTGTTGTTTGATTTCTTGTAAGCAAGAAAATTAATATGAATTAATTAATGAAATGAAATATGAGCTTATTATGTACTTGTGGCCAAGCCTAATGCTGTGTTTTCAACTGCATTGTTTATAGCACATCACTCAAAAATCATAGATTCGTAACATATATTTTCAGTCCCAGTAATGTTGATCAGCTGTTCATTAGATCAAATAGCATGACTACTGTGCTATTTTCTACACAGACATTTTTAAAAGTGTATTTTACCGGATAAATTGTCTGAATTTCTTCTGAACCAATATATTCAACTTTAATTTTCAGGTCAATTACCCAATCACCTACTCTGACTCTTAAATCAACCCTGGTACACAGAATTAAATTACTTGCCAATTTCTAAGAAAATAGGTATTGCTGAATTTGTCATACTTTGAAAAATACACCTACATCCTCAGGGACCTTTTCCTTTCATTTACCACCACCAATAGATTATCTCCCAATCTGATTTAACTGTTCATGCCGCCAATTTTAGGTTTTTAAAAGCAACCACCTAATTCTGACAGTTTACAATAAGAAATAACTGAACAACAGTCCTTCGCATCTATTTGTCCACTGTCTGCTTCCTTCTTCTAAAATATACAATGAAAATTCACTAATAATAATAAAACAGCATACCTCTGACAGAGTACCTTAATCATAGTTCCTGTAACACTATTATAAATTTTCAACCCTTGACAACTGTGAGGGTCTAATATTTAGCAACTTTTTGCAATGCTTGTCATTGGGAAAAGACTCCCTTTCTTTACAAATACACAAAGAAAGGAAAGTAATATTTAGCATAGTAACTTCTGACAGGGAAATAAAACAGGGTGAACCTCCAGGTTCTATACTCATTTAAATCCATAACTTTTCTGCTAAGAAAATTAGCAAGCATGACACTTTTCTCTTAGAAATTACACCAGGATTATGCTTTTAAATATAAAGTAACTCAGAACTATATGTTTCATCAGGTTATTTTCCTAAAAAAACTGATCAAGATTTAGAGCATTTAACACATTCAGTGTACATGAAAAACTTCTGTTCCCTTAAGACATAATTTTGAGGAACACACTCATCTTTGTTAACTGGTTTATTAAGATAACCAGACCATGAGGAAATTTTTTTTTATTGTTTATTCCAGAAAAATACTTGCTAATAATGAGATTTTATTGCTAATATTAGTAATATAAATAAATAGAAAATCATTATAATGTATTTTACTAGCAGTATTTTCATTAGACATTTCAGCAAATATAAATTGAAAAGTCAGTATCGGGGTTAAAAGAAGCTTTTATTAATTCTTATCACATAAATCATTTAGCAGAGTAATGATGCTATGAAACACTTTGGATAAAAGTTCTGAACATAGGAAAATGTTTTGAAAATTTTTTCAAATGGCTTTAAAAGTTTTCAAATCATTTTTGATAATTTTTACTTACTGAGAGACCATCAATTTAACAAAAATTATATTGCAGTATAGCAGTCAGTATCTAAAAATACAACCACAAGACAGTCAAGATGACATAAAAGACTACCTAATTTTCTCTACAAGCTCAGTTACACACCTTTTCAATCAGTCAGGGTCAAAGTTGTATTACCTGTGTAAATGCAAAAGTATTTGACTGTGTGGCCTTTATAATTGTATTCTTTAATCCTTCCAAGTAGAACCAGCTCTAAGGGTTAAAGTTTTTTCAAGAGGCTTGAGTGACTCCAATCCTGTTCTCAGTGACATCCTCAAGTCTAAATGAAATACAGTTCACTTTCTGCTACTGGGAAAAGAAAATCTTCAGAATCTTCAGCTATCTTCATTAAACAGGAAAAAAAAAGAAGAAAGACAAAAAAGGCAAAAATGGAGCTTTGACAGCCTCATTTCCCTTTGTTTCTTGAAAATACTAAAATCACCTAACATCTAAAAGAATGAGGTAATGACACATCTAGTTTGGAGAAAAAAGAAAAATATATATAGCTGAAATACTGAATTTATGGAGTTTTTTGTGTGCTTTCTATACCTTGCATCAGTCAATCTAATTCCAGTTTTAATTTCTATTATCCTTTCTATAGATCATCCCCATGTAAATCAACCTGCAGAGACAGAAGAAACACTTTACATGGCCTTATCAGTCTCTGCTTTTTAGAGGGTCACACAATATATAATTGCTACTAGCAACTGACTTCTTTACAACATAAGGAAAAATAAGAGTAGTTGTGTATTTATTACTTTTACCTTTTAACCTTTTATTTATTACTTTTACCTTTTACCTTTTAGGTTAAAAGAACAAAATGAAATTAACCTTTTCTAGAAAACAAATTGTCTTAATTCTATTGTAATAATCCATCAAAATGATGTCAGATTATTGTCATAGATATCATTGAAAGTACTTATATTTACAATGTTGCTGAATTAGACAACAAAGAAGCCTAACCTAAAAAAAAAATTAAAAAAAATCAGCATTATACTAGTAACTAAAAGAAGCAAAGTTATTATTTAAAGCAGTGGCAAGTTATGGAAGTGAGCAAACGAGAAAAATGAACCCCATGAAAGTTGGAGACTAACATGGACATGGTGGCAAAAGCTGTGTACCAAGGCTAAAAGAACTTTTAAAATCTCTTCACTCAAGATTACTGAACAGGCTTTTATCAGCTGTACAAAATGTATGAAAATATAAACAATCTTCTAGAAAGAAAAGAGACTTTCACACTCAAAATAACTTATTACCAAAAATGAGACAAGGGTTCACTACCCAAGGAATAAAGAAATAAAACTATAATTAGAACTTTGATAATATACATGTCTGGATCAGAGATAGCCAAAGTTAAAATTTCTTCACTTCTTACTTTGTAAATGAGTATCATTTAGAACCATATAACACATTAAAACATCAAAACAGAGAACATGAAATATTTTAGGAAGAAAGTGCTTATTCATTAGACCTGAAAATATTATCTAACAAATGCTTATGCCAAGCTTTCCCTAGATCTACTCAATATTTTATGAATGCTGTTCTCTGATAGACTGATAAGCAATTCAGTTTTATTGCATTTGATTCTAAAAGTAAGGAAATAATATCATGCACTGTGAAATTTACAGTGCAATCGGGAGCAAGGAAAAGGCAAAGAGCACCAACTGATTTCACGTAAACAAAGCCAATCAAACAATATTTAAGAAACCAAGAATATAACAAAAAACATACCTACATACTGTTAATTCAAAATAGTCCCAAGACCACAGAAGTTTGTAAGATAACTAGAGCTTGCCGAGCACTGTGATGTTGAATGTACCAACATACCAGCATTCCAAAATTCATTATGTTCAGAGACTAACAAAAACCTAAGATTGCCTCTTACTGTTGCAATTTCTAAAGATGTCTTTCTACTTGAAAAGCTAAAAAAACCCACAAGATGAAAATGATATAGCTATAATGTATGTGTGTGTGTATATATATATATCTATATATATATAAAATTTATACATATAAATAAAACTCTCTGTGTTACAGAAATTTGTCCACTAACATGTACTTGTGTGTACTGCTCTTCCCACCTGGCCTGTATACAAGACCAGAAAAATTATCAAAATGTACAGATTTAGTGGCATAGAGCTTCTCTGACAACAAGTCTCTTCAAAAGTAACAGAACTGCATGACTGAAACATAGATATGTGTACTGATAACTTCAAATTTAGGCCTATCTTCTTGATAACTTCCCACAAATACATTTATGCAATGATTTGTCACAGTCAATGTTTATGACTTTCCACACTGTACTGCAAAATGTAAAGCTTAAAATTAAACTCCAACAAACTAAAAAAAAAAAGTATCTCAAAACCCTTTAATTTTCTTCTCTTAGCCAACAGAAACCTACATTCTTTGACTCAATTGAAGTAAACTGCAAACTTATACCTGTAAGAAAAGACAACAAAGATCTTCAAGTTACAGAAAACAATTGTATTATACATATATATGTACACAGAGCTTTTATGTTTTTCGTCTAAATCTAAAAACATTGGAAAATTGTACTTGTGGCAACTGAAAGGACCTAATGAGAAAATATGAGTACAGTATTTGTGGTGTAACTGGTCCTGGGAGACCTTGTTACAGTCTGAGATGCTCTTCAGCCCTGAGCGAAGCTAACAGGAGTTGCCATATACTGTTGATGAGTTTACAAATTGAGGGAGTGAGTTTCCCTCACCACAGAGGTGTAAAAAATGCAAAACATTAACATACTACCTAAGATTCAAAGCGAACATCAGACTGTTTACATGTCTGCTTTGCATTTGACTGCCATGCATTTGTCTTTTAAACAGTGAAATGAACACACCTCACTATCCTTTCAAAACATAACCAAGAGCACTACTAGGAAGCCCTAG